CATTGTAGCGAATTCGCACATAGTAACCTGAACTTGAAGGAGGGAGCTGTGCTGTCGGTGGACGGGTGAGAGCTTGGTTGGTGACAGGAGTCGTGGCCGGGAAGAATCGCGACCACCAAGAGGACGAGCCTGGCTCGGCAGAGGAGATGGGCCCGTTTGATGGAGAGTCTGCCTTCTGCTTGAAAAGCTCAAATGCAATGGAGCTGGTGAAAGGCGGCCACCCACCGCTGTAAGGGTCTTTAGCGCCCAGAGCAACTAGCAGAGCAGCCAGAGTGGTGTCATGACATCCAGAGAGGGACATCTTGAATTCACTGCCAAGAGCGCTAGCCTGCTTTGCCACTGGCTTGACCTTCTCAGTCATTCGCTGTGTCAAATCACCAACAAGCTGGCCAATACCAAGCTTTCGATATTCATCTGATTCTGCGTACCCAGCAAACCACTCCTCAACGGTCATTCTGTCAATGTTTGCCAAAACCTGCTTCTCGTAAAACTCTGGCGGAAGTCTCGTGTCAGAACCATGGGAAAGAGTTGAGAAGACACTGTCCATGACACCACTGAGACGCGGGTGGCTATCGATGGCAAGTTTCTGCTTCTTGCTGCTGTCGTCCTCTTGTTCCGGCATCCACTTGCCGATTTTCTTGTTTAGGTAATTCATTTCCGGAGAATCATTCCAAGTTAGAGCAGTACGCGCTGCAAAGGCGCGTGTCAACTCAGAGAATCGTTTGCATGACCCAGAATCATTGGGGAAGAGGGTCTCGTCTTGCCAGTTACGAGTGAGTATTGCCAAAGGTGGAAGATTTTGCGCACGAGACTCTCGCGGATAAAGACCCATGAAAGTCTGTTGCACGCTCTCGAGCGCTCGTGGTACTGGCGAGGCACGAATATGCAAGCCACTCTGAGTTGCAGCATCCAGATTATCAGGTAGAAACCCCAGCTGATCGACATAGAGTTTGCGTATCCTCTGTCCAAGCGCAAGTGTTGTCTTCCGACCCAAGTCTGTCAGTTCGCCAGGGGCACAAATGGCGTCGATCTCACCGTTTCGACCAGTGCTATAGACAGGTGTGTCATCAGCACCTTTGCTATCAAAGGTCTCAAGACGTTTCCTCCATTGTAGAGTATCCCATTGGCCATCGGCAGCTAGCACTGTAGAATGAAGAGCTTTGGCGGCGGAACAATAAGGCCAGTACGTAGGAAGACCAGCATTTTTAAAGCGAGAATTCACTGGCGTTCGTTCACCGTGGCGAAGAACGATCTGTACTTGCTGTAGCTCTAAGTCCTGAGGGTACAGACGAGATAGCTCCTCTGTTGTATATGGTTCTCGAGGTTTCTGCGTCCACGACATTTTTGTATTATTTGCCCGAATTAAATCAACGTAACCTTGGTCTAGACAGAGAGAAGAATGTCATTCAGTCATAAAGCTAATGAACAGTGCTCACACAATTTTCCCAATATCGGTCACCCCTCGCTCTTCAACTTACGGTGACCATAGACAGACTACCGCGCATCGGCTTTAGCGGTTCTGAGCAATGTAGTCATGCCGGCCAATGCCAGATACGGTCAGCCGCGCTATATACCATACCAAAAGGGGAAGTGGACTTCCGCTATGTTATAGGCATAGGCAAATATTCAAAACAGTCGCATATATTTGAATGCTAGACAGGTATGATCTGTGTAAAGGCAATCTAGAGGGGATGCCGAGCCATGCCAGGGCCATTTGTTTGCGCAACCTGTCGCCTGAGAACCGCAGTCTCGCGTCTACGACAGCAAAGGCTTCCCAGTGCACGGTATCCCACGGAGCTATCCCAAACACCATGCGGTGGAGCAGTATGGCAGAACCAAGCCACTTCGAGAGTCGATGGAAGACAACACATGGTCAGGCGTTATAGTAGCGGAGATGCTCCCGTTGGAAGGTACTCGAGGCGGACTCTAAGACCGCAGGAGGTACTTGAACAGCTTGGACCTACAGGGCAAGACATCAGAGGAAGGAGGAACGATATCAGGTACCAGCAACCTAGGCTTGTAAGGTCAAGCGTACGGAGGCCTGTGGCATCAGACGTCTGTTCATCTCGTACACTTTCGGGTCGACTTGCGCCATTGATCACCTCTCTCGATGAAGCTCTCGCACGCAAAGATATCACCACCATTTTAAGATCTCTGCAGTCCATTGAGACTTTGCAGAAGAGCAATGCATTGAGTAGTACGGATCTGGATGGGTTCGTGAAATCTTTCGATGCCCAAAAGAAAATGGCCGTCATCGAAGCAGCCATACAAGCTCGCTCAGTATGTGGACCATCAGCCAACGAGAACGAAGCGCCGACGATCGCCATGATTTTGAAGGCTCTACAAGATCTTGGAGCGCTGGACAGGGTTACTCTGTTGCGAACCCTTCGCGTACTCGCCCATACCATCGCTGCAGGCAGAATCAGGCGGCTCAAGGAAGGTACACCTGGAGATGTGGCTGTTTATCCTCCTGTCTCCCCGGATTGTGAAAACGAACTCATGTCGAATCTTGTTGAGGCTTGGCGGCAGTATATTCAGGCTCGAGTTTCTGTGAGATCGACAGAAACATCAAGCCGATCTGGCGGTGGTCATGGCGAGATTGTCGACCACATGCATAATACCAGCGATGTGGGGATCTCTGATGACTGGGATTTTCTACCAGACATTGCTGCACTAAAAAGCTCGTCTCGCGAGGATGAACTTACTGTAGTTAAGGCTCTATGCATGATTTTTGGAGAGAGGAGCGTGCATAAAACTTCTATACGCGAGACTTTATTGGTCACACACGATCTTCTCACCCAACAAACGGCTGAATTTCCTCCACAGCCTTTAAGTGAGACTTACACAGCTACCCAGCATCTAAAAGGTCTCTTTGAATCGATTGTTCGCCTTCCTGGAGGTTTTGGTGAGCTTAATTTTGGCAGGACGCCAAGAACTGACCGGTACTTCGAAGAGTACTTGCAAGCGATGGCAGCACGCCTTAATTTGACTCTTCCAGACAAACCCGATCAGATGCAATCAAAACTCGCAAGACAAAGCCAAAAGCTAGTAGAGGAACTGCCAGAACTCGACAATAACCAGCATGATGAGCTCATCAAGCGTATTGGCAGAGCTGTGGAACGGTCAGATAATTCAGCCCTCGAACGGCTGTTTAGAGCGTTCAGACAACAGCAACCGGACATCACCGGCGAGAGACCTTCCATGTTACGATATGAGGGCTTGATCTTGGCTTTCCTTACACTTCGTCATCCTTCACGGGCGGTAGACGTCTGGAACTTGATGTTGAAGGCTGGCTTGTCTCCAACCACACGTACATGGACAATCATGCTCAACGGTTGCCAGCGCGCCAACGATACAAATGCAATGGAGGGCTTTTGGAGGAGAATGAGAATGGATGGGTTCCAACCTGACCAACATGCTTGGAGCACGCGAATCCTGGGCTTGATGTCTGGTCGAAGGATTGAGCAAGGCCTGGCGGCAATGGCCGAGATGGGCCAGGAATGGGTCAACGCTGCGAAGGCCGCCAAATACGAGACCTTGAAGGCCAAAGCTATAGCTGCAGCCGCAAGCGGCAAGAAAGAGAAAATGCCTTCGATCACGCAGGTACAAATCTCAGCAGAAGAATACCCGGAAGACGTCAATGGTATCCCACGCCCCGACATTGTTGTTATGAACACCGCAGTGTCTGCACTGGCGACGAAAGACGACAAGCACATCCATAAAGTCTTGCAGTGGGGCCAAGCTTTTGGCATTGAGCCAAACGTCCAGACTTACAATGCGTTACTTAACGTAACCATGCGGCATGGTAATCCGGACGAAGCGATTAGCATCTTGCAAAGGATGCAGCAAAAAGGTCATGGATTGAACAGCAGCACTTTCACTGTCATCCTCACAGCTCTTTTCGAGTCTGATGAGTTCCTCAAGGGCGTACCAGTGGAGCAGCAGGAACAAGATGTCTTGAACGTCATTCGTGGTCTGGAGTCTGTGGGCCACTCCAAGGTCGATGCCAAAGGCTATGCTGTGATCTTTGACCGTCTATTAAAACGACACAACAACCCAGACGCCTGCCGCGCAGTGATGGCATACATGCAGGACCAGGGCATCGAACCTGGTACCCACATCTACACGATCTTGATGGCACATTACTTCAACTGTAATCCCCCACATCTAGAAGCGATCGACAGTCTCTGGGCACATATCAAGTCTGCCAAGCGTGGCTATGGCATCGCGCTGGACAACATCTTCTATGATCGCATGGTGGAGGGCTATGCTACCCATCACGGCATTGTGGGAGTAGGGCCCATGTTCCGCTTCCTTCAGGAAATGACTACCCAGGGCAAAACACCAAGCTGGTATGTCCTCAGGCTTGTTGCGCAAGCGCTTGCAGAAAGAGAGGAATGGACAAGGTTGGGCCACATCGTACATGACATTCGACAGCAAGGGAGGGGTGGCAAAGGTGGCCTGAAGATGAAAGGTATGGCAGGCCAGAGGGATTTTTGGTCCTTCATCATTTCGACAGGCGTATTAGAGAAGGAAGGTATCACGCACCCATCTCAAGTTGAAGTGTTCAGAGACGACAATTTCAGTGCGGCCGCTGGCAAGGCCGAAATAACAGCGTCGAGAGCCGCAAGGGGGCTTCATGTTTGAAAGGCCAGGAACGCTGTATTGGCTTTCAACTCTGTATCATATGTGTAGGCAATCTAAGCATGAACGAAAATACATCAGCAGCAGTCACTTGCATCCAGTGCGCAACCATATTACCATACACTATCATGCGACACTCCGTATGTACTACTAGCACTGTACTATTGACTGGACCTTGGTTAGGCTGTTCAGACAAGTGGCGGGTCATTGGTCAGTGTACGACCATCCAAACCGTTGTTTCCTCAGTATGGGATGATACTATGTAGACGTCGTAGCGACAAGATTGAGTTGTATTCAGGATTTTATCTATATGATCTATCTTATACCTTTGACGTACATCAGTTCATCACTGGAACGCGTTGGTGGTTTAGTGGTAAAATTCATCGTTGCCATGGAATCGGTAGATTTCAAATTCGATGAGCCCCGGGTTCGATTCCCGGCCGACGCATTTTTGCCAATTTCTCTTTTGCACCCTTGCGAGCCTCCACTATAGGAATTCGAGATCGGTGAGATTGGGAGGTGGACACTGGGGCTGGCTGGGTTTTGTTATTATGTTAGTCGTGTAACCTTGGTTCAAAAACCGCAAAGAACGACTGGTGACAACTTAAACCATCAAATTGAACACATTTGACTGACGCTCCTGCTTCATATGGATCTGCATGTCAAATCCAACATTTGTTTTGGTAATCATCCTGACAGTTCACGAGTCTGACAAGCGCAACTTCATCACATTAATGTACCCCAGTTGCCAATCTCTACTTAAATGCTGCAGGGGATATGATTATTTTGAAAGACCTTGGGGCGAGAGCAATGGTCTAGGTGAAGGGTTAGGGTTTGGGTTGCAAACCTGCCACCCCGACAGCGCCTGTACGTTGATAGTTAATGGGACATACCTCATGAGACCATGATGATGATAGGGTCCGGGATGGTAACTGCATGCCGAGTGAAGCCAGTGGTCTCAAATGATCAGTGTCTGGCGAAGATGATGAGCCTGGCAGACGATATACCATCACATGTAAGCGGACAATCATGTTTCACACCCCGTTCAGCCATGAAACAATACGACCTTCGCATGATTCACGCTCTCATGCAGACAAACATCGCCATTACAATAATTCAATCGAAGAAGTTCCACTACTTTCGTAGCCCTCGGTAGCCATGATCTGATAGCCGAACGCCCCAAGGTTCTGCACAAGACGATCAGTACCCCATCCAACTCTAATCGCACGCAGGATCAACTCTGTAGATCTACTCACCATCCCAAACTCCGCCCACGCCTTGAAGTGACTGCCCAGCGTGATCGTTCCCTCCGTCCGCTGCGTCTGACGGATCGACAGATACTGATTGAACGTCCGCGTGCCCTGTATCGAGGGCGCGTTGGAGCGGACGACCTCGTAGACGTCGTAGGTCGAGCCGTCGCTTGTCACGTAACCCTTGTGCGTGCCGCCTGAACCGGGGTTGTACGTTCCAAAGGTCTCGATCACGTAGTACTCGACCAAGGGGTCGGTCGTCCAGCCGTAGAGGGCGAGCAGGCTGTCGCCGCCTGCGTCTATTGAGCCAGTGTACTTGATGTCGCTGGAGGGACAACGTCGATTAGCTGAGCTCGGAAGCTTGACTGGGGAGTTGCAGGAAGTCTGAGAGACACGAGATTACCGTATAGCTCCCGTCTGCCAGCCAATACCTGCCACGACATCCTCGGAGGATGAGTCCCAGGTGAGTGAGTATCTGGCTTCGTTGATGGACATTGTTGCGCCACTGCCGTTTTCAATGTAGCAAGAGTAGTAGTAACCGTCTATAATCCCAGTGCTACTGTTGGTGATTGTGGTGCTCTTACTCGCGATGTTGGAGGCATGTGGGTGTGGCATTGCTAATGCGCCAACTAGGCCTACGAAGGCGGTAACGAAAGGTGTGACGACGACCATCTCGGGGGACTCGATCATTGAGATCACAAAGAACGTCTGGCATGACAGCGAGCATCACACAAGGAACACCCGATTGGCTTTATAATTGTGTTTCTTCACGATCATGGTGATTGTCACTCACGATGTCCATGTAAGCTTTGCTGTGGCGGCAACAAGCAACATCGGCACTTCCAACTTGCAGAGTTGAACGCTGTAGCCTATTGACAGGCTTGAATCCAATGCCGGCTGAAATGATGGTCACACTTCTCCTCAAGTACACGTTTACATGATAATGCTGATGGCAGCGATAATATGCTGCAAAGACTCGACATCGGTAGAAGGGATGCGAGGGCGTGTCGATCTCCTCAGCTTTTAGCCTAAAAGACAAGCCGTGGTGCAACAACTTCCCATGCACGCTTGATTCGACCTGCAAGTTTGATCATGATGGCTTGCTTACTGGCTTACATACAACATGTCCCGTTCGACCGTAAAGTCGAGCGTGTGTAATGCGTACAGGCTGAATGGGGAAGGTAATATCGCCACCAGCACTTGATGGGGACCAGCCTGTGTAGCATTAGCACACCGGCTGAAAGCCAGATATCTGTGAGAGATTCAAACACATATAGTAGGATGTGAGCATCACCGAGAGCTGTATGTGAGGACTGTGTACATATATAGGTGACTTACTGTACAATGCTACAAGTCCTGATTCCATCGGCATCAAGTACCCAGTATATCCCGCGCTGACCATGTTGTCAAAAGCCATACCCTTTGTCCTGATTACAGGCGTAATCGCGTCTCCCCTCAAACCTCGTACTCATGGAAATTGCCCACCGATCCACATCTTCGGCGCTCGTGAGACGACCGTACCTCCAGGTTACGGCTCGGCCATCACTGTCGTCGATGAGATACTGCACGACCACCCTGCATCGACATCTGAAGCCATCAACTACCCGGCTTGTGGTGGAGGAGCCAACTGTGGCGGTGTCAGTTACTCGGCGTCTGTTGCCAATGGGACGAACGCGGTGGTGAGCGCGGTGAGCGCGTTCGCCGCCAAGTGTCCACACACTGAGTTGGTGCTTGTGGGATACTCTCAGGTAAGCAAGCTTAGCACGATTACAATATACTGGTGGTGAGAGGACCAGTAAGAATTCCGCTGACATTTGGAACCAGGGAGCTGAGATCTTCGACAACGCCCTCTGTGGCGGTGGCGATCCCAACCAAGGCCTTACCACCAGCGGGTCAATTGCTTCCTACAATATCAAGGCGGCCATCTTCATGGGCGACCCTAGATTCGAAGCTGGCGCGCCGTACAATGTTGGCTCCTGTGAGGCGGGAGGCGTATGTATCTGCCAAGACACAAGACGTCTCGTTCGGATGATACCAATGCTGACGCATGAGGACAGTTCGACGCCCGGCCTGCTGGACAGTACTGCGGCTCGTACGATGGCAAGATCAGATCCTACTGCGATGCGCCTGACCCTTATTGCTGTAACGGAAACAACGCCACGGTCCACCAGGGCTACGGACAGGAGTACGGCCAAGCTGCACTCAAGTTCGTGAATAGCAAGCTTTGTTAGATAGGTCTGATCGCAATGTCCGCTGCCTGGAAGGTATAGCGTCGTGCACAGCGGAGAATGCCCACATTTCAGAAGCATTTAGGTGGATTGACGAGTCTCTTATCATGTTGATGGACACTTTCCATCAAGGAATGACAGCTGTCTCTCATCCATGTTCCTCGTGTTGAGATTACTGCTCATATCTGTCCGAGACCTGTCCATCCACCTTTCCTTTCAGTGGGTAAGCTGGATAGGCAGAATGGACCTTTTGACGTTGGTGGTGGGTATCGGTCCATCGTTTAGCATGCTTCGCCGGGTTCTCGCCTGCGTTGCCATATGTGGTAAACATAGAGCCGAGCCCATCTGGCTTGGCACCATATGGGATGGCCAGGGTCCGCCGCACCGACTCTGAATTCCAAGGCGGAACTTCGGTCGGCCTGAGGCACTGCTGTTCCGCTGAGAACACCGGATTGGATTGACCGCGCAAGGCCCGGTGTTTGTTATGCACCGCTGAGCATTTTCTGCTGCGAACTTCCATGGTGGTGGCAGCAACCCCCGCACATCATATGCCAGAAGACCCAGATGCAACATCATTACGGTTACCAGTGTTTAGACTTTTACGTATGCAAGTCGAGGTAAGGGCATTCATGCACATCCATCTGCACAGTGCCGTCAAAGGTGGCTGGGGTATCAATGCACATGCTGGAGAATGGCAACACACGCCATCCTGGACCAACACGACTGTCAAGCTCTGTGTTGCTTTTCATGCAAGACTGGCGGTGCTGCGCTGGCTTGTCTGCATGGACACCCGCATGTGAACGGCTCAAGGTGCTACTGCATGACGGCACACATCACTCTGCCTGTCTTTCCCAGCCGTCCTGCATGGGTAGGACGAGGTGACCTGTACTGCGTGAAGGCCGTGTCTGCAGCTGTTGAAAAGCCACTGATTGAGGTGGCCGGTTGATACGAGGAGGCTGGGAACAAGAGGCCAGGGTGCCGAGTGTGGGTGAAGACGAAATCTTCGTGCCGTACACGTGGCGCGAAGACTCTGGGCAGCGGAGAGCATAAGGCTAACCACAAACGACACCAGTCATGACTACGATACTGCCCCTCCAGACGATTTCGTTTCGCCACTGATGGAGGCCTCCTCCACAACCCGCCATCTGTAGAAGTAAAGAGGATGTCATGGCTACCGTATCGAGATCCCGTTCTTCTACATAAGGCAATGCGGTTCTGGAGGCGGGGAAGCAATGCTGCTAGACATGGTTTCGCTGAGGAAAAGAAATTCCCTAGTGGTGGTATATTTTTGCATGCAGAGCTAGGGATATAGCTGTGAGTCATGACAGGGAAGGCCTCGTCGACATTTTTTTGCGTGGGGAAGGACGCAGGCGTGGACAGCGTTGAATATCGAGCATTGGCTGTGGCGGTGGATTTCTTGCCCTCTCTCCCAGCAGTGATCTTCACAAGACAGGTCACATGGGTGAGATTCTCTTCCCTGGTGGCAGGTGAGTTCAATGTCAGCCAACACTAACGCGTGATGATTGATGCATTTGATGCAGCAAGTCAGACTCTGTGCTCTGCATTTGCCATATGCCGACGTAATCCAGCAGCATGGTCTATAGTGTGGGAGATGGGTGGACGCCGAGGGATCATCGGGTGCGATGGCGATTGTTCGCGAGAGCAGACAACGTCTGTTCGTATTCAAGTAGAAACCATGACACACAGGAGACTCTTGCCATCGACCGAAAAAGCCTTGGGAGCAACGAGTAGCGCAATTACTGTCCACCTGGGCAGTAGTGAAGGGCCTCGGCACGACATTGGCCAGGTCTTTGCTGCAAGGTACCAAGTCGAACAGTCCCTTTTACCCCTGCATTTCCGCTGCTTCCGCGCAAGCTACGTCCTGTTCCTGTCCCTACTGCAGTGTGTCCCTCATTCGGACAGCCCTTGCGGTGCTGTCTCTGGCTGTTCTCTTGCGAGCCGAGAATGCC